ACATAGATTGCTTTTTAAGTTAAATGGTGGGAGCTTTGTATGATAACTTAACAATAGAATGATGTAATGGATGGTAGTTCATTTCCTAGGTCACTTTCAAAACCTGTTTAATTTTTAACCCAATATGTTTAAGGTTTGTGAAGAATATAATAGGAAAGAAGATAGCTGCAAATGTGCCAAATTATGGGCTGGGTAGATTTTTTGTGAACTAGCTTAGAATGCTAATCACTGTTAATAAAATTGTATCTTTGTGGAAAAATAAGTATTCTAAGAAATGGAGTGAGGGATACATTTCATAATAATTATAATATTTCAAGTATAATTTATCTTAGTACTTTCTGTATGTTACCTTTGATTTCACAATGATCCGGAAAGGTAGATGGTATCAGACCCACTTTATTAAGAAACTAAAGCTCAGAGAGGTTTAATAACTAGGTCGTCCAGCGAGTAAGTGATGGAACTGTGAATAGAATCAAAGTATTTGCTGTTTTCACTGTATTGTTCTACCTCTTAGATGGAAGGCCTGGGTTTATAGCCCCTACCCTCATCTATTGAGTGGTCAAGGGACTGACCCTGAATAGGGTTTAGAATCTGAAGAATTGATCAAAGTATATTCATCTGCATAAATGACTTATTTTCTCTTATTTCCGCTTAAGGTTATACACCTAGCTATTCAGTAGTGGAGTCATGATCTGATTCCAGGCCTCTTTGATTCTAAGGACCATGTTCTTTCCATTATTCTTGGAGGTGAAAGAGCAAGTTTCCACTGAATCATCAAGAATTAAATCATACTCACTATTGATTTCTGTGTGTCGTATTTTACTTAAAGGTAGCATCTAATGTATGGCATATATCATCTCACAATTAAGCAGAATATTCACTAACTAGAAAGCCACGTAGCTATTATTACCATGTAAATTATCCATTTGTGAACTATATCCAATAGATTTTTAATCTTTGCTTGACTTCTCCCTGTACCAGTATCATTTTCCCTCCTTACAAATGTTTTGTTACTTTATTTAATGAACAGAATCTTTTACATGAAACAGTATTATTTTTGTACTTTGTAATCCAAGTTCGAAGCATCTGATACAGGTTTTTAAATACACATTTTTGGCTAGTTATTTTGAAAATAAGTAAATTTGTAATTGGGAATCATGGGTGTGTGTGTATGTGTACACATATAGTGTATTAAAATAGATTTGTTAAAGATTTGGAAAAACATGCTTTGAATTTAGAAAGATTTCTATGAAGCAATCAGCAGTGTGTTAGCAGAACTATTGCCTATAAGTAACTAGTTATAAGCAATTATGTTAATAGTAGACCTGATTTTAAAATTAAAAACTTAGTTTCCTCCTGAGTTTTGTCATCAGTTATTAGAAAATGGGCGTTTTATGATACAGGAATGCTAAAGTATCAATAAATTTCACATCGCGCTGCTGTGTTTTTACAATGTTTTTAAAGGTTGCTTAAAAAAAAAAAAGTGACAGAGACCAGAAGTGTATACTGCTGCAAAGCTTAAAATATTTACTCTCTGGCCCTTTACAAAAAAGTTGGCCTACCCCTGCCTTACAGCTTTCCAGGTAGCTCCAAAAAGTGAACAGTAAAACACTTCAGACTCTTATAATCAGGTAGATGCTGTGTATGCTACAGTGTTAGCATGAGCTATTTAATTAGCATAAGCCAGAAAAAAATTCAACTTCTATGTCTATAAAAATTCCATTTTTTGATACTATAGAACTCTAATTACTATGTAGAATTCTTGTGGAAGTAATAGCTTATTTAAGAACTCAACACCCTTTTAATCTTTAATGAAGTTTTAAGTAAATTATCATTTGTTTTTTGAAAATCTGTATTCATAAAGGAACATTCCATGGTTCTATTGTATTCCAGGTAGTCATTGGATATCCAGGGGTATTAACATAGGAAAGGAAAACAAAAAATGGGAAAAATAACAATGGATGCCCTTTTCTATCCTTAGTATTTTATAACTAGAAGTGTTAAGCTCTTTGTTCCTCCACATAACTTATTAGAGTAGGTGTCCTTGTTAATTTGAACCATTATGTACATTTTTTAGGATAATTAATGAGGATAGTAATTTTGTTTATAATGTTTTTAGCTTCCTAAAATTTTTGTATTTAAATTATATAACTAGTAAACTTGGAAATTTATTTGTTTTTACATTCTTTGACATATGTTTATAGTCTAGCTTTCTAAGTTCTGTGTAATAATGCAAACATGTCATAATATTCTGCATACTGTATTAATACAAACTGAAGAGCATATATGTAAATACAGGTTAAATACAATGTATGTATTTCATTGATTTTTTTAAAATATCCACATCTTTCAAGGGTGCTATCATGTCTTTGTCTTTGAAGGATGAAGTCTTTGAAAGAAACTAAATGAGTACAAAATCATTTTTAAAAACCAATACATTACAAAGAGGAATCAACGCAAGGTCTTCAGCTCCCCTATTAATAACCCATATTAATATTGCTTTATGGATTTTCAAAATTCTGTATAACTTGTGCTTTATCTAATCCTAATCCATGCAGTGTAACCAGAAGTATGTTCTGTTGGTGTTCCTTTATCAAAGCTTGAATCTGCTCTAATTTTAGAGTATTGTGAATGTCCATTCTGTTTGATTTCTAGTTATATACAAAGTGATTTCTAATTTTATAACAATTAAAACAGTAACTGCCTGAAATTGTTTTGTATAATCGCATAACATCTTCGGGCAATATTAAACAAAATTTACTTTTTCTTCGTTATTTTCTAGTTCTTACTCAAATGAGTATATATCTTTTATAGTTATAAATAAGTTGAATGTTGTATTTTACTTTTTAAAGCATATAGCTATTTAGCTGTCATCATGATCATTTCTAAATTCATAATATCCCACTGAAGTGATCTCACATATAAACCATTTCTCAATAATTAAATAGTAACATTGGCTACAATTTTTTGATATTTATAAATATTGCCAAAATTATCACACTTAAAAAAATAACAGATAGCCTATAGTTATCTTCAGCATCTGAAAATCGTAGTAGTAGTTACACATAAGTAATGATGCCTAGCAATATTAGTTCTGCTTCATAAAATTCTTTACTATACTTTCAAATTTGTTATATTAAAATAACCGCTAGTTTCATATTAGGAAGGAAACTGATCAAATGAGAACCTTGTAATTTCCAAAGCTGTTGAAGAATATGTTGTTAAAATTCAATAGCTATTTACTTATAAACATTTTTAAGGGATTTTAAAAAGTGATTTCTTATTTCTACTTTTAGAAATTCATTTTTTGCACTTCCAAAAGTACATAAAGACATAATTTTTGAATAGAATGCAAGCTCCATGAGCACAGGGAATTTCAGCTTTTGTTTAGCGCTACATCTCTAGGTCCTAGAATAGTACCTGGCACATAGTGAGCCCTCAATAAATATTTTGAATGAAGGAATTTTCAAGGATGTTTATTTACAGTATTATTTGGTATACTGAAATTGGAAACACTTCATGTTCATTAATAAGGGGGTGATTAGTGTAAAATAACCACACAATGGAATATTATCTTGCTGGAAAAAATTGACGTTGTTCCATGTGTACTGACATTGACATTCATGCCACCTCATTCTGTGAATAAAGCAAGTAGAAAAACGGTATGTGTAATATAATACCACTTTTGTTTTTAATATTTTGATTTAAAAAATACATAATCCACTTATGCTCAGCAATTCTTAAACTTTTTGCACTCCTAAAATTACTGATGATTCTAAATGACATCTGCTTGTGGGCTAGATACGTATTTATTTATATTTAGATATACATTTGCCATGTTAAAGTTAAGACAACATTTAAAAATTTACTTATTCATTTAAAATAAGAATAATGAATTTATTACGTTAACATAAATACTGTATTTTTATGAAAAATAACTATATTTTCCAAAATAAAAACATTTAGTGAGAAGTGGCATTGTTTTATATTTTTGCAAATCTCTTTAATGTCTATCTTAATTAAAAATAACCGACTTTTCATATCTGCTTCTTCACTTAATCCATCGTGATGCTGTTTTGGTTGAAGTACCTCAAGAAAATCTAGCCTCACACAGATACGTAGTCAAAACAGGGAAAAGTATTTTAATTCTCTATTCCGATAATTGTAGATATTCTTCAATACCAAAACTCTACAAGTAGTAGTTTCTTAAAGATTAGCGGCAATGTAGAATTTACAGCTATGTCAGCAAACTTTTCGTACTCATACTTTTCATACCTTTAGTACCTTTGGTCTGTTTTGCACTTAGAATAGATCTTTTACCCATGCAAGATTTTATAGCTCGTGATTGTTCATTTGGAAAATATTGGTTCCCTGGTTATGCAGATCTTCCAAAGGTTGACACATTTTATTATGCCATGCTCAAAAGTCACATTTGTTAATATCACAGCATAGTCTCACCGCAAAGGTTTTCAAGTATTGTGAAGTTGTTAGGCTCATAGTAATGGATGAGCATTTTTTGAAATTCTGCTTTTCACTTGAAAGCTTGAATTTTATCATTGATAACACAATCAGTTGTTTTTCTGGAGTTGATGGGCTTAACTTCATTCACTTGTTGAGAAAACAGCTGTTAAACATCCAAGTCTGAATAATTGTCATTTGTTCATCTACAGATAGTGTTCCATTAAAAAAGTGGTGGGGGGACTAATTTACTCTTAATCACAATGATACTTGAAAAGAAAATTATTATTTTTTTAAATCTGTAAATTAAAAAATGAAAAGAAAACATAGCAAAATGTTCAGTGGTTATCTTAGGGTGGTGGGGAAATGGTGACTTTTTTCTTTTTTCTCCTTTCATTTTTCTGTAATGAATAATATATTTTTATTATGTTATATAGTTTAAAGTGTTATATAAAGTATGTTATTTATAGGACAACGTACACATAACAAGTGGATGTGAATTGTAAAGAATAGTTAGTTATTTTCTCTATTTTTCTTATTAGGATTTAGGTCCTGAATATGAAGGTATATTTAACATCTCATTGCAGTGGATTTTTGAAAATGGAAAAGATGTTGGAATAAGGTAAAGGATTTGGTTTCCACTTTGTCCATTTTGTAGTCTAAGAAGTGATTTTGACTCTAAACTCTCCCTTAATTATTTTTAAATAGGTGTGTTGGTTATGGCCCTGAGGAAGAATTGACAAATATAGTTGATGTACAGTTTTTACAATCCACAAGACCACAGATGTCCTTCTGGTGTCGTTTTCGACGTGCTTTTATTACTGTCACCCACAGGTTATTGTTGTTATGCTTAGGTAAGTTGTGAGGATGAGAAAGCAGATACATTGTAATCTAGAATTTTTGTGTCTGTATTTCACCAAATGCCAGGATTGAGAATATACTTCTGTGATAGTTGTCATTATAAATCGCATCCAGAAGTCTTCAGTAAGGTATAAGAATATTGAGGGTTTCTATAATGTCCGTATCAATCTAAGGGCCTAGAAAACAGTGCTGTGAGGAGAGGTGGGAATCAAACTTTGTCATGTGAATGTCACAGAAAAAGCAAATTTAGTGCATAGATAGAAATCTACCTTAGGAAACAGAACAGGAAGATACAAAAATTAAGCTTATTTTTAAAATACTATATTAGAAATTAACTTCATTAAAATTATTTTTAATTAAAAAAATACCATTAAATGAATTTTTCATTCAGATTCCTAGATTTTATCTGACTATTTTGATTCATAACAGGAATTTAGGAGATACTCATATTTTTTTCTTTTTTCTGCCCAAGTCCTGTAAAAATAATTCAGGTTACTAAAAGTTAGAGGTAGTTTGTTTACAGACTGATAAGACTCACCTTTCTCGTAGCTTAATGCTGAAAGAAAAAAGTTTGTGAAACATAGTTATGTTACTTTGTTTTCAAAAAAAATAATAGAATTTAAATGTTCAGTTGTCAGCCTAATGAAGAAATGGTTTTTCTGGAGATATTAAGTGACACTCTGGGAAATGTTTAATATTAAATTTTTCTATGTAATTTGATCATGTAGCTAATTCAGACCACTGTCTTGAAGGCTTATTCCATTATCCCATTATGGCAGTTAAAATAGTCACTGTAGAAACTGTCAAAATGGCTTTTTTTTGCTTTATTTTGTTAATACCACATTTAACAACTGACAAAATAACTTCAAGTTGCAGTGAATATTATTGAATGCCATTGACCACAGTTTTAAAAACACAATATATAAATATTGCAGGTGTAGTGATGGTTTGCGTTGTTCTGCGTTACATGAAATATCGCTGGACAAAAGAGGAAGAAGAAACAAGGCAGATGTATGATATGGTGGTAAAGATTATAGGTATAGTATTTGTAAAAATCTAAACTACTTCTAGAATAGTCATTATGTGTTAAACTCCATGATGTCCGGTGATTGCTTCATTTGTAAATTTGTTTGATTTACTTTCAGATGTTTTACGAAGTCATAATGAAGCTTGCCAGGAAAATAAAGATTTACAGCCTTACATGCCTATTCCCCATGTGCGAAATTCCTTAATACAGCCTCACGACAGGTGTGTTCAACACATTATGAGTTGAAGTAAATCAGAATGTTGGTATCTTCTGCAGTCGTGAAAATTACACTGAGAGTTGTGACCCTTCTCAACTAGACCTGTTTTATTGTACAGGCTTTATTTTTGTACTTTAAACTCTTTTCTAAATTTTCATCTATTATCTTCCTGATTTTGAGTGGCATAATAGACAACTGGATTTCAAAATATACACTTTTGATTCTTTGTTGTCAGTCTCTACCTTATTTCCTTTAATTCTGTCTTGATAAGGAAACAGAGACAGAGAATAGCCAGAGATGTTTTATTAATAATGTTTTAAAATACTTCCTTTTGTTGTTAATGAAGCTTTTTAAATAAAAGAATTAAGCAATAACTTCTTGAAAATAAAAGATGATGTCACATTCTAAAGCAACATTCTTACCCTAGCAACACATCAGAATCACCAGTGGAGCTTTTGTGCAGGAGGCGGCGGGGGCGGGGGGGCCGGATACCAGTGCATTGTTCCAAATATAGTCAATCTGAGGTGAGGTTCAGTCATCTAAATCTTTTTGGAAAAAACTCCTCCGTATGCAGTGATAAGAACAACCTGCATTAAGAGTAACCACTACCTTCAATGACTAATATTTGAAAAAGATGACAAGCCAAGATGATAGTAAAGTTGTCATTTTCCTTCAAATGATAGGAGAAAAATGAAGAAAGTCTGGGATAGAGCTGTTGACTTCCTTGCTGCTAACGAGTCTAGAGTTCGCACGGAAACACGAAGAATAGGTGGTGCAGATTTTCTAGTTTGGCGGTGGATCCAGCCTTCTGCATCCTGTGACAAAATATTAGTAATACCTTCTAAAGTGTGGCAAGGTCAAGGTATGTATTTTTAAACAACAAAAAAATATAAATGTAATTTTTTCAAATGCAAAAGTCTTAACGTGTTTAAAGTAAAATAGTATAACTGAAAGATGTATGAAGGCAGAGCTCCCTTCCGGTTCCATCCCATAGAAGGAATCAGTGTTAACTTCTTAACATGTCCTCCCACTTTTCTCCTTGCTAATACAAACAACATGGTTTGTCTTCACTGTGATAGAATTCTAGATACATTACTTTAATTTTTTTTTCCTCTTTCACTTACCAAAGCAACTTAGTATATTAAAGATCTAACTGCATTCTTTTCCCCTGATTTTTTGTGCAAATAAGACACATGTAATTTGTTTTGTATTTTAAACATGTGTAAGTGGAATTATAACTTTTAACTGCTCTTTTTTCAATTTTTGCTTGCCTTTCTGTTTTTCATTAAGAGTCTTCCACCTGCATATCCCCTGCCAAGTAGCTTTTGTGGGTATCATTCCATATTTTTCTTAATGCTTGCATAGTTGCAAAAACAGCTATTTGTAAGTTTATAAGAGGGTTTGGTGTTTGGTTGCCTTACGTATCCAAAGCGATAACTGTTACCTCATTTGAATTTTTTGTATCTTAATGGTTATTTGCAAAAAGAAATCTCATGGCTAGTTTAATTTATATTTCAGAACTAGTAATGAGTTGAGTTTCTTTTAATCTTGTTGGATAAAAAGCATATTTATCAATGCTTGCTAGACATAGACTATATGGGAAAGGTAGGTTGTTTTGATATTGAAATAAAATAAAATCCAATCTCTTCCTGATTTTCTGTAATTAATTTTCACTTTCAAAGAGCTTGAATAATAGTTTATATAATCGTGGCATAAAAATAAAGTTTTTATGTTGCCAAAATGACACTAAACCATAAACTATTTGCTTTAGGGTACATGCAGAAGGGTCCTATGAAACCATAGGCTGTCAGTCAGATCTGATTACCTTAGTGCCTTATAATGATGCATGTGGAGTCTCAGCCTAATTTCATCATAGAGCTAACAGTTGGTGCTCATGTATGCATCTGAAGTTCTAGGCCATTGTTTTTGTTCATATGAATTTTTTTTATCATTGTAGTTGTCTTATTTTAAAATAAGTTATTTAAAATAAGTGAGATTTTCAAGATGAATCCAAAGGCAATTTTCAACTAGATAATCCATGTTGTTCTTAAAAATTAGTTGTGGTATGATTTATTTAAGTGTGTTAAATTGGACACGTTATAATCTCTAGGATTTAAAACCTCAGACTATTATTTTCACTTTATCATAATCTTTAGCTAGGAAAAGACTGTGCAAAAATGATAAAATACAACTTAAGGTCAGTTATAGTAGTAGTTAAAACTCAACCTGAATTAATACAATATTTTAAAAATCTCCAGCTACTTTTTTTTAATATATTTTTTAGAAGTTTTATTTTTTTAATTAATTTATTCATTCAATTATTTTTGGCTGTGTTGGGTCTTTGTTGCTGCGTGCGGGCTTTCTCTAGTTGTGTCAAGCAGGGGCTACTCTTCGTTGTGGTGCATGGGCTTCTCATTGCAGTAGCTTCTCTTGTTGCGGAGCACGGGCTCTAGGTGTGCGGGTTTCAGTAGTTGTAGCACGTGGGCTCAATAGTTGTGGCTCGTGGGCTCTAGATAGCAGGCCCAGTAGCTGTGGTGCACGGGCTTAGTTGCTCTGGGCATGTGGGATCTTCCCAGATCAGGGCTTGAATCCGTGTCCCCTGCATTGGCAGGCGGATTCTCAACCACTGCGCCACCAGGGAAGCCCTCCAGCTACTTTTTACGTATTAAGTGTTTTATCCAAGTTTCAGTGTATTAAATGTTTGGAAACTATATGCCAAGTACTGAGCTACCTTAATTTGCATATTTCTAAATGGGCCATGTAAAGAATTGTAAATTTAATCTCTCTTTTCTTGACAGTCTTTGATAAACAGTTACAGTGATTAGGGCCCTGTTCCTGGACCTAGAAAGGAATTGAGAGTAAAGTAAGACACCTGCTACTTAGCAAATAGAAAAAAAGGTGTAATGGCTGAGATAATTTTAACCTGAAGGCAGAAAATACTGACATAGAACACTTGGTAACTATTTACTTGAAGTATACCAATTCAATTTTTGGATGGTTGTAGTGATAAAATGGAAGTCTTCAGATTTATAGCAAGAAAGACTTGAGCTCTTTTAAGAATTTCATCATAAGAAGAATTGTTACAAAAAGCTGATAATGAGAAGTTGTTGGAATTTTCTTAATGATAGTTATACATCTTTTTGCCTCATTTAAGAACATATAGCTCTGGGCTTCCCTGGTGGCGCAGTGGTTGAGAGTCCACCTGCCGATGCAGGGGACATGGGTTCGTGCCCCGGTCTGGGAAGATCCCACATGCCGTGGAGCGGCTGGGCCCGTGAGCCGTGGCCGCTGAGCCTGTGTGTCCGGAGCCTGTGCTCCGCAATGGGAGAGGCCACAACAGTGAGAGGCCCACGTACCGCAAAAAATAAAAAAAAATAAAAAAAATAAAAAGAACATATAGCTCTAATGCAGAGAGAATTTAGTGTTAATATTACTTACATTTTTATGCTATTAAATATATAGTCTATTTAAATGTAACTAAATGACTCCGACCTAGCTTTTTAAAGTGATTAATACATAAAATAAGTTTTGCTTTCATTTAAGTATATCTGAGCACAAATGTTGTACTGTATAAAAATGGATGTATACTAGAGGGTTCTGACGGTTTGTTATGTGAACAGATAGTTTAACTTAACTAACAAGCTTAATGTTTCTCCCCTTATAAATGCGGTGGTTTAAAAGGTACATGTCTGGGGCGTTCCTGGTAGCCTAGTGGTTAGGATTCCAAGCTTTCACTGGATTTCAATCCCTGGTCAGGGAACTGAGATCCCATAGCTGTACAGCATGGCCAAATAAATAAATGGTACATATCTGGAGGGTTGGTAATTACAGTAGTCTTTTGAGTTCACTACCACTACAAGCTGTTGTCATTTGATGATACTTTTCCCAAGTAACTGTTAAATAATCAGCCTTATTGAATTTTTAGTTCAATTTCTAAAACGTAGTTAAATATAAATTCATTGATAACATTAGTATTTCTAAAGGTATTTTATTTAATTAGTTTATTTTTATTTAAAATTTTTTTAATTTAATTTTATTTTTGGCTGCATTGGGTCTTCGTTGCTGCGCACGGGCTTTCTCTAGTTGTGGCGAGCGGGGGCTACTCCTTGTTGCGGTGCACAGGCTTCTCATTGTGGTGGCTTCTCTTGCTGCGGAGCACAGGCTTTAGTTGTGCAGGCTTTAGTAGTGGCGCACGGGCTCAGTAGTTGTGGCTCGCGGGCTCTAGAGCACAGGCTCAGTAGTTGTGGCGCACGGGCTTAGTTGCTCTGCGGCATGTGGGATCTTCCCGGATCAGGGCTCTAACCCGTGTCCCCTGCACTGGCAGGTGGATTCTTAACCAGTGCGCCACCAGGGAAGTCCCTAAAGTTATTTTAAAGTACCAGTTTGCTGGGGAGCCAGAGAATTATTTATGCTTCTGACAAATGTAGTGTTTGGTATAAACAACATTCATTTGAAGGACCCAAAGGTAGTTCCTGAGGTACTTGAAATGTATCATTCAATAACTACTGTATCTTTACATGGCCATGGTAATTAGGGTTTAGTTAGGGAGATAAAGCTTATATCTTAAAAATCAATTTGATCTCTTGGACTACTTTCTGACTAGGGTTGGTCAGGGATAGTTTCTCCCAGGTCTGTTATTTTGTGGAAACTTGGGTCTAGGCTAGGATAAGGTGGTATGAATGCTTCTGTTTTCTCTGGTGCATCCCCTGCTGGCCCAGGCCGTTATTGGAATTTCAAGGAAGTCAGATTGTTTGCAGCTAAAAGGTCATCTAAGAACAGAATCTGTACACTGGTAGAGAAGTTCGGAAGGTACTAGATGTTCACAAACCTTCTTGATCTGAGATTTGGCAAAGATTTTTCATGTCTAGTGACCATTCCTCCACCCCATATCAGGCACTGTTCAGACATTTGTACTCCAGATGTTTCTTACCACTGACAGTTCTGAAATCTTTAATTGATACGCTCTGGTCTTTATCATAAACTCATCCTTTCAACTTTCCTGCTTTATGTATTTGGGAACTCCAGAATCTGATTCTTCAATGCGCCTACTTTCTCCAGTTTTCAGCATTTCTCCTATCTTTACTTCTTTTCTTGTGCATCTTAGTTTTCATGATCCATCTTTTCAATCACTCTCTTGCTAGTACCTTTATGTCATCACTTGTCCTTCATCTTACCCTGGTATATTCCAACCAAGGATGAAACTGTTTATCTGTGCCTGTCTATATGCAAATGGATGAGCATAGCAGGAGAAAATCATGCAACTTGGCAGACTGGTACCTTTATAACTAACCTCAATTGAGGTTATAATTAACCTCAATTAGGTCTTCAGTACTACCTGCCTTTCTTATTCTTACCATTTTTTACTAGTCACTTCACTTACCTACTCTACTCAATAACAATTTTATATTTCTTCCCCTCTTTTCAAACCTTTTGCCCTTCTTCTGTGTCTTCTAATTCTCAGCTGATGACTCAAATAGAAGCAATCAGATTGTACCTGCCTCAAATTTCCACCACCAAATTCATAGAATTACCAAAATCTACACTCATCCTCACCTCCTCTTGCAATTGAGGAGCTGTCTCACTTAACAAAGATCCGAGCCCTTCTCTTCAGAGGATCCCTCTGGATCCCATTCCCTCTGGTCTTCTCAAGTGTCTTCCCTTACTGTGTTTTAAATCCCTGCCTCTCTTGGATCTTTTCATCAGCACTTAAACATACTATAGTCTCATCTTTAAAACACACTGGTGCACTATACATTGTCCTATAGCTGTCTACCTATTTATAGCCAAATAGCATTAAACAATTTACTCACTGTCTTTACTTTTTCACCTCCCATTTATTCTTCAGCTGACTCCAATCTGTTTTCCACCCCCATCACTTCAAGGAAACAGCTCTCAGATTTCAATATTGCTAAAGTCAGTGGACATTTTTCTTTCCTGTCCTTATTTTACTGAACAGTATTAACAATTGATCCTGCCTTGGAAATTTGTTTTGGCTTTGTGGTTGCCACTTTCTTCTGGTTTTCATCCTACCTCTTACCCTTTCTTAAATCTTCTTTTCTAGATTTTCCTGGACCTCTAGGTGTTGGGGTTTTTCCAGGCCATCTTTCATCATTCTCCCTGTCTTCCCAGATGATCTTATGCTGCAACTTCATTTTTTATATATATGTTGATAACTTTCAAATTTATATCTTGCACTAAGTCTTCTGTTCTTGTTTTCAGATTTTTATACCCAGCTGTATACTTGTCTCCTTTACTAAGAAGCACTGGAAATTCAACATGTGCATGAACCTAATGTCTTCTCTCTCCAAACTGACCTTTCCTCCGGTGTTCCTGTCTAATTAATGATACCTGCCCCTCCTCAGTTGGTTCTGTCATAAACCTGGGAGTCATCCTTAATCTCTCCCTTAGCCCCCACATGTGCAGTCTTTAAACAAGTCATGTCAGATCTATTCCATAATATGTCCTGATTCTGTCCAGTTATTTCCATCTGCATTGCTGGCCTGTCTTATCCACATTACTATCATCTCCCTCTTAGACAACTATAATAACCTCCTAACTGGTGTCCTTGCATTCACTTTTGCTTCCGTCTAATTGATTCTCCACATAACACTCTATTTAAAAATTTTATAATTTTAAGAGATCTTATCATACTGTTCCTCTCCTTAAAACATTTGAGTGGCTTCCCATCGGTTTTATGGTAATGTCTAAGTGCTTCAGTGTGGCCTGCATGGTCCTCCATAATCCAGCATCCCCTTCTTCAGGTTTATCTTTCTGTTGTCCCCACTCTAGTCACAGTGACTATCTTTTAGTTACTTGAATATACCAAGTTCCTTCTTGCCTTGGGCTTTGTACAAGCTGTCACCTTTGCTTGAGATGTCCTTTACACCTCTCTTTCCTCTGCCTATTTATATTGTATTTATTCTTTAGGTCCCAGCATAAATTATACTTTCTCCTTGAAGTGTTACCTGATATTCACAGATTAGCTTAAGTTACCCTGAGAGCTTTCTGTACTCTTCTTTCTTAGGATTTACCACAATTATGATTTCTTGGGTGACACTGTTTTTCATCTGTCTCCCCCACTAAGCTAAAGTCTTTGAGAACAATGACTGTGTCTGTCTTATTCACCTTGATCCAGGGGTCTGGCTCATAATAAAAGTATGCAGTGAGTATTTTTTGAATAAACTGAATGGCTGAATACTTTTCAACAAAATGGAACAATGGAAAATAGTAAAACGAATTTGTTTTTTATAGCATTTCATTTAGATAGAAGAAATTCACCACCAAATAGTTTGACGCCTTGTCTAAAGATTCGAAATATGTTTGATCCAGTTATGTAAGTATTATGATGAAAGGTACATGTATGTAATTTTTATTTGGAATATTTGGCTGAAAAATGCATGATACTCTTATAATGCTGTCTGTAATAGAAAAATCTTCTACTTCTGAATCTCTGACTACCGAAATGTTCTGTTTTTCTCATTTCTTCTTTTTTGTTAAATTTCAAGCAAAGGTTTCACCAAAAGACACAGATGTATAATGATTTGTAAAACTTTTATAAATCTTTGCATTCACTGGGAATCTCCATAGCAGATAAATGCTTGAGTCAAATTAATGACAGATATGATGACAGACAACAGTACCCTTTATTAGATGTATAAGTCGTGTCTGCCACCGTTCTTTGCCTCAGTAGGCAATATAGATAGAAATATCTGCTATTTAAAAATTTCCAAATCCTACTCGTAAAAAGTTTTCTACAAAAATGTACATAGCTTCCCCTCTACAAGACTTGTCCATTTACTGTTTGAGAAACTTTTCTGTCTATGTAATTACAACAACACATGCATCCAGAAAATAGCACAGTCAAAAGTTATTGCCTTAGAATCCATAATGTTTCACATATAAGCTGTAATAATCTTTAGAACTTGCTTCCTAGAGGTGACTACTTATCTGTGCAATGATAGGACAAGTCAAATTCTGTTTTTTAAAAAAAGCTGACAGTAGAAATTGTATTACATATAAAATACCCATAAGTCCCATCTGATAGCTCATTTATTTCAAGAAATAGTTGATATGGTAAGATTCCAAATAAGTGACAGCAAAATTGTAAATGTGACAAAGCACTGTCAGTACACACACACACACACACACACACCACACACACACACACACACACACACACACGCACCCCCTCCATTTTGCAGAGGGAGAAGCAATTAACGATGTGGTGATCCCTCTATTTGGAATCTTACCTCATACCTTAGGGTTTAGGATGTCTCTGCCAGTCCAGTATTTTATTACCTGAGATGAAGATTTACAATTTGAAGTGTAACAGCCTTTTCCTTGGACCCACCATCTATATCTCACAAGAAAAACAAATGTGAGTTACTGTAGCGGGAACTCTTTCGTAATAGTAAGGTGATTTATGTCACCTTAGGTGACTTAGGTACAAGGTGACTTAGGTACGAAATGTTTGTCTTATATTCACGCTTCTATTATTTTGGAAAAAAAGAAGCTCAGAATACACTATATACTAAGAATTTTCCTTAAGTTTAGGAATTTGAAAATGTCATTAAAAAATAATACTTTACTTTTACAAGTTTACTGTAACTCGTTAAAGTGCTTATTAACATTTGTCTAGATAGAAAAGAGAAATGACTTTAAGTACGTAGGATTTTAAACGTAAAAATGATAGCACATTTATTCTGCTATAGTAGAGATCCTTCAGTGCCTCAGTATGTGCGTTCTTAGACTGGAAAGTGAGAGCAGGGCTGGGACTTCTGAATGCTAATTATTTTTTAATCTACCTACTGTTAGTAACAAGCATTTATATACTGTTAATTTTAACTATATGGTTTTTAAACTATCCCCATTCTAGTTGGGTATATATATTGGAAAAAACAAAAGACTTCTTCTGAGTAGGAATATAGCTGTCGATTTTTTGTTCTTTTTTCCCCCAGCCATATTGAGGTATGATTGAAAAGTAAAAGTGTTATATATTTAGGTTGTACAACAGACCTTTTGTGTTTGTTTTTTTTTTTGCTCATTCTTTAAAAAAATTTCTTTTTATTGAAGTATAGTTGATTTACAATACCATGTTAGTTTCAGGTATACAGCACTGTGATCCAGTTATACATATATATGTGTGTGTATATATATATGTATATATATATTCCTTTTCAGATTCTTTTCCCTTATAGGTCATTACAAAATATTGAGTGTAGTTCCCTGTGCTATGCAGTAGATCCTTGTTGTTTATCTATTTTACATCTATTTTATGTTTATTTTATGTATACATTATATATATAAAATAATGTGTATAAGTATATAGTGTATATAGTATGTGTAAATTAATCCCCAAATCCTAATTTATCCCTCCCCCCTTTTCCCCTTTGGTAACTATAATGGTTTTCTTTGTCTGTGAGTCTCTTTCTGTTTGTAAATAAGTTCATTTGTATCATTTTTTTAGATTCCACATATAAGCAATATGATATGATATTTGTCTTTCTCTGGTTTACTTCACTAAGTATGATAATCTCTAGGTCCATCCATGTTGCTGCAAATGGCATTATTTCATTCTTTTTTATGGCTGAGTAATATTCCATTTATGTATATATACAACATCTTTATCCATTCATCTGTCGATGGACATTTAGGTTGCTTCCATGTCTTGGCTATTAATAGTGCTGCTATGAATATTGGATGAATATTGGGGTGCACGTATCTTTTTGAATTATGGTTTTCTCCCGATATATGCCTAGGAATGGGATTGCAGGTTTATGTGGTAACTCTATTTTTAGTTTTTAAGGAACCTCCATACTGTTCTCTATAGTGACTGTACCAATTTACATTCTCACCAACAGTGTAGGAGAGTTCCTTTTCCTCCACACCCTCTTCAGCATTTATTATTTGTAGACTTTTTGATGATGGCTGTTGATTTTTGTTTTCATTAATTTTTTAGGGAAATAGGGGATCAGTGGCATTTGGCAATTCAAGAAGCAATTTTAGAAAAATGCAGTGATAATGATGGCATTGTTCACATTGCAGTAGACAAAAATTCACGTGAGGTAAAGTAACTTTTACTATTGAATTCTACGTTTTGGATTTGTTGCTACTAAACTAAGACTATTTATTTTCTTTCTTCCCTTTTTATTTTTTTAAAAAATATCACAGGGTTGTGTATATGTTAAATGTCTGTCTCCAGAATATGCTGGGAAAGCTTTTAAGGCATTGCACGGCTCTTGGTTTGATGGTAAGAAATGGAGTATGACAAACATTTTGAAAAGATAAATTATGGTTTACTGTTAAACTATACCAGATTTTAAATTAAAGAATCTTAGGTTAGCATTTTTAGAGTAATAATTTTAGATTATTTTGTGTTCATGTATCTTTTACCACAGTTTGTTTTCTATTAAGCACATTCATACAGATCTAAAATATTATTTTTATCTTACAACAGGGAAATTGGTTACAGTAAAATATTTACGACTAGATAGATATCACCATCGCTTTCCCCAAGCTCTTACTTGCAACACTCCCTTGAAGCCATCAAATAAACATATGAACTCTATGTCTCATCTTCGTCTTCGGACTGGCCTAGCCAATTCTCAAGGAGGTTCCTGAAAAGACTTTCTTCCACTCCTAGGACTGTTCTTTACAATAGGAAAATTCCTGTTTGGCTTTGTCTCCCTTTTTAAATGCTTTTTGTATGTAATATTTTTATTGAGTACAGATCTGTTCGAACGTTCCAGAAATCTTAAGGTTCCAAAGGGACTTAGCAGTGAAGCAGCAATGCTGAGTAGATAGAATAATTGTTTCATTCAGTTTTTGGAGCTCAGTTTAAGCCAATGCACTTAAAGTTTTGCATGAGGAACATTGACCTTATTAAGCATTTTCAGATGTGGTGGTTGTTAATTTTGCACCAAGAAGTGTTTGGATAACCACACAAAAGCATGGTGAAAAGGCTTCTTGTATTTCCGTAATTTCCTGTAAACTAATGTTGTGAATTTTTGTATACAGTCACCTACATAGTTCCTTACAGGCTAATGTGGTAAAACTGTTAATTTCCCAATTTAATCTTAGGTTTCTATTGCTTGTAAGAGATTCATTTGCTATAGCTGGAATATGGGAAAATCAATCTGGGTTTAGTGGTTACATATAAGTATAAGTGGATGTACATGTACTTAAACTGGCTTTTGTATATATGTATAAATGCTGGTGATGGCGAAAGTAGTCTTGTTTTGTGAGGATATCTGCATTAAAGCAGTAAAATAAGCTTCCTATTTTATTCATAATCTAATGTATATATATATGTATGTGTATATATGTGTGTATGTATATATATATGTATTTGTATATGTGTATATATACACACACATATATACATATGGCTGTACTATCATATAGATCAAACAGCCAAACACCTGGAAGTATTAGATAAAAGTTTAAAATATCTTTTATAGGTTTTATATAAAAATGTCTGAGTATGATATTGTGTGAAAGTTCCGATACCAGTTGTAAGAGATTCAAATTTATGTGAGCAATAAAAAAGCAATTGGCAGATATTAGAAAAGTATTTTGTGAAAAGCTGTATTTATTATAAATACTAGGGCTATGACATAGTACCATTGGGATTAAGTCATTTTCCCAAACTATTTATAATTTAATGAGATGTTAGCTTCCCTGTTGTATGTCAAGTTTAAAGCAGGGCACATTGTTGCAGCAAAATGTGTATTTGAGAAATTATATTTGCAATTTTGGGTCATGAAAGTTTGCAGTATAGTAAATGCAGGAGTGATGGTTGCTTTGTGCCTCAGTATTTACTTTGTTTCAGTGAAGTTACCTTATTACTGTTTATGATTTCAGATTAAAATAGTTACGGAGCAAAGTTTACTTGTAACAATTGGCTTTTTAAAAATAACCTATTGATATGTCATTGTCAGTCCAAATGAATATGTGAAACAGCTGGAATTGTACCAATTTTGATTTTGTTTAAAGCTCAGTTTTCTTTTTTTTTTTTTAATTATATATGTGTTGGGTTTGCAGCATGAACTTGCACAGTTAATGCACGTTTTCTGGTTAAGTAAACATGATGCACACTGTTCTGTAACAGAAAACCCTATTGTGCCTTACCTATGTGCTTTTGTGGGCACCATGTTTATGAAGAATAAAAAATGATTTGTTATCTGAAGAGAATAAATTTTAAATTCTCAGTTTATGTCTCAGATGCTAAAGTGTGAAAATATATATATAATATATAAAATAACTAATCTTTCTGTATTTTATGTGCATCACAGTGATTTATCTGTGCTTAGTGACTCCATCTTGTGACCTGTTATAAGAGTGAATGTAAAAAATAGTTGTGGCATTTTAAGAGGTCGCCTTTTGATGCAGATGCATCTTTTTCTTGCTTCTAAAACATATTCCATGTAAACATTGTACATTTATTATTGTAATATATACTTTTATGCAGCTTATTTTACCTGAAACTGTTAAGCCGACCAAGATCCCTCCCTGCAAGACAGATGGGAATGTGTATAATAACTAGATATTTGAGAAGTTCTGAAGTTTGATGTAATCTGTTACTTGTCCTGTTTAAAAAAAGGAAAAAATTCTAATTAAAAATTTATTAGGTTTTTTTTTTTAAATGCGTCTTGGCTTTAAAAAAATTTTTTTTAAAGTGCCCTGTGTCTTTATTTTATTTTATTTTTTTTACCAGTGAAAATAGATGCCTTTATTTTTAATCTTTCTTGGTATCTGTAAATATATGTATGATTATAAAAATGGATGAAGACCCTGAAGTTAATTTTAACCATCCATTCCTCAGCATCTTTTCTTTATGAAAATGTCTTTGTCTAACTTTCAAGTGTTTGGCTTAAAGTGGGGAAAGAATGTAAATCAGATGTATCACTAAAGCACTGCTTAGTTTAGCTAGACTTTTTTTTTTGGCTGCGTTGGGTCTTTGTTGCTGCATGTAGGCTTTTTTTGTGGCAAGCGGGGGCTACTCTTCATAACAGTGTACGGGCTTCTCATTGCAGTGGCTTCTCTTGTTGCGGAGCATGGGCTCTAGGTAGGTGGGCTTCAGTAATTGCAGCACGTGGGCTCAGTAGTTGCAGCACATGGGCCCTAGAGTGTGCATGCTTCAGTAGTTGCGGTGCGTGGGCTCAGTAGTTGCAGCGCGCAGGCTCTAGGGCACGTGGGCTTCAGTATTTGTGGCTCGTGGGCCCTAGAGCACAGGCTCAGTAGTTGTGGTGCACGGGCTTTGTTGCTCCGTGGCATGTGGGATCTTTCCGGGCCAGGGATTGAACCTATGTCCCCTGCATTGGCAGGTGGCTTCTTAACCACTGTGCCACCAGGGAAATCCCAGCTAGACATTTTTTCGTAGCAAGACTTTCTCAAAGGAAGCCATTCTTTTACACATTCTAGCTCAAACTCCTTATCATAAAAAAATAGTTTATGGGCTAGTACTTTTTTTTTTTTTTTGCGGTATGCGGGCCTCTCACTGTTGTGGCCTCTCCCGTTGCGGAGCACAGGCTCCGGACGCGCAGGCTCGGCGGCCATGGCTCACGGGCCCAGGTGCTCCGCGGTATGTGGGATCTTCCCGGACCGGGGCACGAACCCGTGTTCCCTGCATCGGCAGGCGGACTCTCAACCACTGTGCCACCGGGGAAGCCCCTGGGCTAGCTACTTTGAGTAGCATTTGTTTCGATTTTTCAATGGTTTAATCAACTAAAAAGAAGATTTGACTTAGTTGGTAGACTTTTATTGGTTGCTAACAAATGTCAGACAGTGTTACATATTAGGGATGCAAAGATGAAAAAGACATGGCACAGTCTTCAAGATGGTCACAATTTAGAGAACTTAGGGCAGCTAAGTTAACAGATAGTGTGGAAAATATAGTGAGAGAAGAAAGCAGAATAAATTCTGGGAGATTAGGGCTTCCCTGATGGCACAGTGGTCAAGAATCCGCCTGCTAATGCAGGAGTCGGGTTCAAGCCCTGGTCCGGGAAGATCCCACATGCCGTGGAGCAACTAAGCCAGTGCACCACAACTCCTGAGCCTGCGCTCTAGAGCCCGTGTGCCACAACTACTGAAGCACGCATACCTAGAGCCCTGCTCTGCAACAAGAGAAGCCACCGCAATGAGAAGCCTGCGCACTGCAACAAAGAGTAGTCCCCACTCGCTGCAATTACAGAAAGCCCGCGGGCAGCAACGAAGACCCCAAAATAAATAAATAAATAAATTTTTAAAAAATTCTGAGAGATTAGAGAGGTAGCTTATGCATCTTAATAGATTGAGAAGACATCAGGGCAGATGAGGTAAAATTTATCAGACACTTCTTAATTAGTATAGGTACAATGGTAAGTCTCTTTTCCTATGAGCTCTCAGGGAAGCTTCTGTTCTTGTGATGAGCTCATAAAAATTAATGTGTTGAAACCTGAGTTATTATAAAATCCATTTTCATGCTCATTGGTCGGTAGAAACCTGAATATCTTGTGAATATAGAAGCCTGATATTGCACTTTGTTATATTTTCCTTGTGTGGATGACAAGTTGTGATTTCCAAGTGAACAGTGTCTTGATATATCATATGCCCAGAACATTTCCTTTAATAAGATTGACCTTGCAATTCTCATTCCCTGCTCCTAGTGACATTACATTACTGCAGGTCATCTACATGGCTTCTTTGCCCTTTTTTCCTAGACTTATCTCGGCAAGTCACTTCTTCCAGATGACTCAACAAAAGATGCTAAATCAAGCAGAATTTTGGCAGCCACTCTTTTGGAAAGGATGCTCAAGAACAGGTACTTAACTGAAAATTAGAAACCAGAAGTTGTGCTTTAAAGAAACTGAATGTCCCTAATGCTCATTCTACTGGTCTAGTGAGCATAACTAGCTACTGCCTTTAAGCCCCACTGGAGAAACTTTATGACTAGGAATACATCCTGATGGTAGATTTCTGTACCCAAGAACCTCTACCAGGGGCAGCAGGATAGACTCATTTTGTTGATTCTTGGACTTTAATGCCAGTATAACCTGAGTACTTAGATTTACTGTTTCTTCCATGGGTAGACATTGGAGACCTGCACATGCTCCTTAAAATTGGAAAGAAGTCTGTCTGGGCATAGAGAGCACATGAAAAAAGATCGATGAGAAACAACCTAGTGCATGTATAAACTACAAGCAATCTCTTATGGTTGAATTACTCAGTACAAGACAATAAATAGAGACAGGAAAGGTAGGTAATGATCAGTTCATGGAAAGCTTTGTAGGTCACATTCTGAAGTTTGGATGTGGGTTGTTAAAGGGAGATCAAGTGAGGATTTGTTGGGATGAAAAATGGAGGAAGGATTTGAAAAATAGAGATAAAATGGGAAGGACTTGATTAATTGGATATTAATAGAGAAATTGATGTCCAGTTTTCTAATGTAGGAACTCTAACCATCCCAACATTTGGAGAATAGGTGATAAGTAACAAATTGGATGGGAAAAATGATAAACTGAATTTTTGGATGCTTTGAGATTGGGATGGAATATTCATCTATCCCAGTATTCAGGTGGATGTTTCTAGTAGGTGATTGGATTTCCAGTTCTGAGGTATTTTGAGAAAAATCTGAGCTGGAG